CTCAAACCCAAACACTTATTAGCACCCTTCACTGACCCCTCCGGCAGCTGTGTGTACGTCTTCCTGTTTGAGGCTGATGTGAGGCGACAGGCAGGTCTCTGGGGTCGTTCTCTTCAGGACCCCTGGTGGTCCTGGCTGGCCGCCCTGGCTGTCTCATGGCTGGGCCAAGGCAACGAGGACACACCCTGATTCAGACCCAGCCAGGCAGACGGAGGGATCAGGAGGAACCTGTTCAACATTCTGGGCCATTTTAGCCCAAACTGGTCCTGAAGGACCTCATTGCTCCTCATCTTTACTGGAACTATCCACTCTTTAATGGTCTGTTGAATGGTCAGATTTCCAGAAAGGAACTGACCAGTTAGGCCATCAGATCCTCTAACAGATTAAATTATTTTACTTTAATTCAGGATCTTTTTCCAAATGCATAAACCTGAATGATAGACAGTTGGAGACATTAGAACTTCATCCTCCTCCATCTTTCTATCTGCTCTGGACCAGGGGTTCCTCTTTGGAGCATTTTTTTTTATTTTTTAGCTTTGAAATGATTCTGGACCAGCAGCAGCCGTGGACCTTATGGTTCAGTCCTCTCGTACGGGCAGCACCACCTGACCCAAACCGTCACCGCTTCCTGATTGGAAGGATTCTGGAGGATAAACTGACCGCCTTCCCTGAGACGAAGCTGAAGGTAAGACTCCAGCAGGTGGCCTGTAGACGCGGTCACTGAGGAAACAGACGTGTTACGGTTGTTGGACACTTTGGACTCCAAAAGAAAATTCAGAAAGATTTTTAAATGCATTGAAAAGCTAGTAAGCTTGTAAGGAAAATCAATGTGGAGGAAAAAGGAGAAACGGTTGAAAATCTGGCTTCTGTTGAAAAAAGAACTCCGACCTTCTACACTGCAAAAAAATGAAATCTAAATAAGTCATTTCTTCTTATAATAAGTGCATTTTTTTCTTGAATTAAGGATTTAAGTGAGACACTTTGCCAATGGAACAAGACAATTTACACTTAAAATAAGAAAAAACATTTGAATTGACTTATTTCAAGTGCGTTTTATCTAGATACCTTATTTTAAGAGTAAAAATACTCATTCCATTGGCAAATCATCTTATTTACATGCTCAAATTAAGGGTAAATACCCTTAATTTAAGAAATTTTTACTCATTTTGAGATCATTTTTGCAGTGTAAGACCTAAAAACATTGAACTGCACTGCAAAAACGATCTGGAAACGAGTAAAAATGTCTTAAAATTAGTGTATTTAGCATAATTTAAGCAAGTAAATAATAAGATTTTCCAATGGAATGAGTATTTTTACTCTTAAAATAAGATAATTAGATAATATCCACTTGAAATAAGACAACGCAATTGTTTTTTCTTATTTTAGATGTAAATTGCCTTATTCCATTGGCAAAGTGTATCACTTAACTGCTTAATTCAACAAAGAAATGCTCTTTTTTAAAGAAAAATAAACTTACTTAGATTTTATTTTTTTGCAGTGTAGAGAAAGAAAATAGCAGAAATGTGTCCAGATTACATCCACAGCAAAGGATTTATAGGAGATTACGGCTCCCTAAACCAAACTATGCCTCTTATTCATGGTTTGCAGATCGTTCCATACCAGTTTTTTCTCCTTCCCATTTTGAATTAAAAAAAGCTTCCTGGACGGGAAGAGAAACATCTTCAAACTGGGAAACAAAGTCCAGTGGATTGTTTTTAATTTACATTTTTTGGAATGAGTGTGACCTGGATGACTGAGAAGCTTCACCAGCGTGCAGGATTACAGACGGTTAAAAAATAAGTTATGTGATGAAAAATACAGGAGTTAAAAGACATCATAATTCACTGCCTTTAAAACCATCAACGGTCATTTAATCAAAGCACAGGAGCCTCTCTTTTTCTTTTTATTTGGGAGGTTTCCATTTTTTAAAGGGTTTGTTTGGAAGTCTACAGCATGAACAAGTCAAAGAAATGTTAAATATTACAGCATAGAAAACGTGCTGAGCTTGAACAGAGCAGCCGTGCTGCTTTAGATGGTTTTATCTGAGATGATTCGGTCATTTTGTGGATGTTCAGCAACACGCAGACATTAAAACGACTGAAACAGCTTCAGCGTAAATGGTAATGTTCTGTAAAAAACGTTTTTATGCTCCTGTTGCAGCAGTCAATGAAATACTGGTCTTAAAAGGATATCAGAAAATTCTCATTAATTCCTCTGAATCCTTTTATAAACCAGGAACGTCATTAATGAATGAAGTACGACAGATTCTATAGACATGATTTAAAAGGAGCTTTTAGTTTAATTGATTTGTTTTCTTTTTTGTAGTTTTAAATAGTAAAGTGCTGTTAGGAACATAAGGAACAATCAGATCTCTGATATCAGATGGAGCTTGGCCATTTAAGGCTTTATATGTGAGAAGGAGGATTTTAAATTCTATTCTTGATTTAACAGGAAGCCAATGAAGAGAAGCCAGGATAGGAGAGATATGATCTCTCTTTTTCATTTTCATCAGAACTCTGGCTGCAGCATTTTGGATCAGCTGAAGGCTTTTAACTACAGTTTGTGGACTTCCTGATAGTAAAGAATTACAATAGTCCAGCCTTGAAGTAACAAATGCATGGACTAGTTTCTCAGCATCACCCCTGGACAGGAGATTGCTCATTTCTGCAATATTCCTCAGATGAAAGAAGGAAATTCTAGAAACCTCTTTGATCTGGGATTTAAATGACAGGTCCTGATCAAAAATAACACCAAGATTTTTTACTTTATTATCTGAAATCAGTTTAATCCCATCCAAATGAAGCGACTGGCTAATCAGCTTCTTTTTCAGAGACTCTGGTCCAAAGACTATAACTTCTGTTTTATCTGCATAATTGTTCCAATCTTTAATCTATGATCAGAGGTTGGAACTATTCCCTCTAACGACCCCCCCCTTTCAGAGACATAGACAGGTATGGGGCATTGCAGGCTAACAAAGAAGTCAAACGACCCCCATTCCAAAGGGGGGGACCCGTTCATCCGTTTCTATTTGCATGTTTTCTAAACTAAAACCAGGCTTTGTTGGGCTGCTGGATAAAACCTGGAACTAAACGCTATTTCTGACATTTGGAATTGAAAAATCTTCCTGGATGGAAGAGAAACGTCTTCAAACTTGGAAACAAAGTCCAGGGGATTGATTTTAACTTTGTTTTTTTGGAAAGGTTCTTTATTAGCTTCCTAAATGTGGTCTAGTTAGCATTCTGGACATTTCTGATCATCCTGGAGATGTTTCAGATCAGTCAGTGTGGAGGAATGCAGAAGCTAATGCTATGCTAACGGATCGGGTCCCTCCATGCCTCCTCCCAGGGAGTTTTTCACCAGGGGCCCAAAGTTCCTGGGGGCCCCATAAAACTCTGTTTCCATGTATGGTTAATACAACTATTCCTTATTTCTGCACATTAATTATGTTTTTGATAAAAATCCTTTGGCTAAAATGCCATCAGAACGCTGATAATATTAAGCGTGTCTCAGCCCCCCCACCCCCCACCCCCCCCTTCAGTGTCCACCATATTGGATCAGTCCATTTGCTGCACATGTTCAGAAAGGTCCAAACAGACAGCAGCAAACCATTTGAAAACAAACCATGCAAAGAGCAGTGTTGCCAACTTAGCGCTTTAGTCGCTATATTTAGCCACTTTTCAGACCCCTCTAGCACTTTTATTTCTAAAAAGCTCCTAGCGCCAAATCTAGAGACTTTTTTCTGCTACTGGAGACTTTGGAGACAACATCTAAAAGCAGCGAACTCTGCTCTCCAGAGCGAGTAGATTGGTAACCCCGCCTCCTGCTCTCCTCTATCTTGTCTGCTGTCATGATTCATGCAGCTATTATTTCATCCAAATGAAAAATGGAGAACAGATAAGCAGATCATGGCTTGTCTACAGTGAAAAGAAGGACTGGGTTATTTACTTTGGCCTTTTTGGAAACACAGGAAGGAGCAATCAGCTAAGTGAGCTTAGTGCTTGGAAAAAATCTTTCATTCCTTTAGAGACAGCATGAAAAGTCAGCTGAGTACAAAACATAGAGAGGAAAACAAGAAGAAAAGGGACAAGAAGAGAGGGACACAACCTAGAACAGATAATGGATGTCTATTCTATTAACATTTCTACATCTGGAGAATGGGGCTGTTTTATGTCTTCTCCATTCAGAGGGGCCCCTGCCTGTCTTTGCCTAGGGCCCCAGATTTCCTGAATCCGCCCCTGTTTCTCACGTCTCCAGTAAAGTGACCCAACATCTCACATCGTGGTCGGGTGGGAAAAAAACAAACAGGTGAAAATGACCTGAGAGCAGGAAGCTCTCTGCGTGACCTGGATGAACCTGCAGGTGTGAAGCAGCTTCATAGCAGGAACCTGAAAACAGAGCATGAGGCCTTCAGTTAAAACTCAGACATGAAGCAAACCAACAGCATTTAGTTTGAAGGTTCTGGTACCAGCAGAGCAGAACCACAGCCAGAACATCTTTATAAGGGTGGCCAGGAAATAACAAGTGTACCTCCATATTTTCTAAATAAACAAACTATCCTTTCCTGCAGCCTTTGCTAACAAATAGACGCTTATATTTAAACATCTGTGCTTTCTAGATAAAAGGTATAGCAGATAAAATTCTTTCAGGCTTGACTTCTGCGGCGAATATCTTTTCCATTGTCATTAATTACCTACTTTTATCAATAATCATTCTGCATAAAACTGATATTTACAAGCACTAATATCTACATCATCTTTAATGTTAGTTTATTGATGTGCATCATTAACCAGCGTTTTTGTTGTCAAGGAATTGTTGAGATATATATATATATATATATATATATATATATATATATATATATATATATATATATATATATATATATATATATCTATATATATATATATATATTCTACTTGAGAGTATTACTGTTGCCACTGTCTGTATTAGAGAAGGTAAAAATGGCATAGCTGGCCCCCCACCTAGCTCCGCCCCTGCATGTGAATCATTGATACAACAGGAAGAAGAGGCAAAGCAGCAGTTTAAAGGAGAAGTCGGTCAGCAAAGAATAATCAATGGATCATTATTTATAACTAAAACTAATACTTTTTAGGTGATTTAATGAATTTAGCGTTAATTGAGCGATGACTGAGTCTGGGAGCGGCCATTTTTGCCCAAATATAGTAGCCCCTCCCTCCTGCCATCTTCCAGCAGTGACGTCACGGTGCGGTAAGCCTAGCGCCATTCTCCCCGCTTTACAAGCTAAATCAATGGGAACTACTAGACACATCTGCAATCAACAACAATTATTGAAGATTTCCAGAGGACTTCACCATTGAAATTCACCAGAGCTATAGTGAAACTGACAATGCCCACGTGCATGGCAGCTGGATGCTGGAATACATCGGGTAAAAGTGAAAAAAAGAGTTATTCCACCTTTCTGATTCCTGATCCTCCACGGACGGGTTGGTCGTTGGATCGCCAACTTGAAGAGGGAGGATTTGCCATCGAACTTCTGGCCAGAGAAAAAACCCGTAATATGTAGCCAACATTTGGAAGAAGAATGTTTTCTAGATGACTTGGATAATAGCGCGTTGTGACAAACACCAGATACAGCACTGGGACTTGATCAACAGCCGATACCGCACCGTGACAATGTCACTAACCAGTAGGTGGCAGTAGTGT